CTTTCCCTTCCTCCCCAGGCATGAAACTCCCAGACAACATTCTTTGTAATTCTTCCCCTCCTACACATTTGTATATTGCTTTGTCCTTCACATCTGTGAGACATACTGAGCAAAGCAGGATGACTGCATTATCCATATTTTATTGTAAAAAATGGCCCATTGCTCATTTTTGTTCCCTTTGAGCTGCTTCTCCTCCATATGTCAGAGTCATTGAGATCCAATAATAAGTGGAAGCAGAAGCTTCAGAGCAGCATGGCCCTCTGTGATTAAGTGAAGATAACTTACTGAGCAACCATTTCAATAACGTGAATGTTTGTTAGTATATTCCCCTAAAATGCTGATTTTTTTTTCACATCTACTTGACAAATGCATTACAAAACACTGAGTCATCTTGGATCTTCCAAGCTGAGATTGTGAATCCTCAGATAAAGGAGCTGATTTTAGTGTCTTAAATAGGGGCTGCCATGAACTCCTCTGATGCTGAATATGCTTAGTCTTCAGTTGCCCACAAATACTCATGGAAATAAATTAATTTCATTTTTCTAATAAATTGTAAAATGTGGTTCTTTGAATCCTCTTTACTAAAACAAATGCTTGAAAGGCAATTAATTTGTCTGATGGTATTTGAATAGTTCAGCAAATTTACAGAAAATATAAGTATCTGCTGAGCAGCTCTGACAGTCTCAGGGTATTGCTAATGATGGTGAAATCAACACAAGGTGTGAATTCCATCCCAGGGGGAGTGTGATATGCCCACAGAGCTAAATTCAGCTTTTGCACTACCAGATGAACATACCTGCTTGATTCATGTGGCTGACATTTTCCTGTCTCTTTATGTCCATTGAAAATAGTCCCTTTCTACACTTATCCTGCTTTCCCAGCAAGTTTTCCTCTAATTGGAAAGTAGCTTTTTTGGCGTTACTTCTCAGTTCCTGAAGTAATTTTGTTCTCTCTTTCTGTTTCCTTTCTCCGTTTTTTTTCTCGGTGCTCCGAGCCTTGTTTGCTCTACCCACCCTCATTCTGTGCTGAGCTGTTTCCCTTTCACATCACAGCCCCACTCAGATGCCCCATGGCTAACATTGTTAGCCCAGCCGCATGCCCACGCTCCAGGAAACAGTGCATTGAAAACTCAATTCTCTGGCCTGATTCAGTGTCCTGCCTGCCTACCCAGTCTTTCCTTACTCTGTGGCAGGAGCACGTGCAGGAAATGTTATGGATCTTTTGGGACTGCCTTAGCATTTTCCTGAAGAAAATATCTCCCAGTTACGGAACGCTCACCGGTGATGCCCTTGGAACAGAGCTAATCCCAAAAAATGGCAGGATGTCCTCTTGCTTGCCTGAGACTGCTGTGCCAAGGTTCCCCTGACAAACAGCACTGCTCTAATTCGCCCTCCGAGGCTGTCCTCTCTCAGGTGCAGTTTAATTGTGTTGTATCTCCTCCCTGCTTTAAAAGCTCTTACTCAGACTCCTGTGCCTTAAAAGTTATTGAAGGAAAGGGGGTGGAACATGATGTATCTTGTACTGTGCACTCTGTGGGTGAAGTGGTGAGAGGCAGCAGGGATCCCTCCGTCCCTGTCCTGTGCTGGGTGCTCACCCACTCCAGGAGCACAGCTCTGCCACAGCAGCTCATTCTAGAAGCTTGCAAGTGCCTGCTAGGATCTGGCCTGCCAGGCTGAGGAAGCCGGTTGGCCCCGTGAAATGGAGCTATTTATACCTCAGCGTGGATGCTGTCCTCAGGGCACACTCTTCCTCCCATTCAATTCCTGTGCATATTTATTGGAAGCCAGCAGGCTGTCTTGGGGACAAAAAAACTGCTCTGCAGTGAGGGCTGGATGGACTGTGGAGTTAAACAAGGCACTCAGAACACACCTATGGTTTTCTTCATTATTTAAACATGCCTTTTTGAGGAAATTGGTCTGGCAGTGTCTGGGCATCACTGAGACACCCATCAGTTGTCTCCAAGTGAGGAAACTCACAGTTCCCTGTGAGTGCCAGACAAGGGTGAGGTCCAAAACACATCTCTCCGGATGCTTTGTGAAGAGAGCAGGTCCTCAGTGGGGTGTTTGCAAGGTTGAGCCAGGTGGAGTGAGAATATGTTGGCTAGACCTTTGAAGGTTGGGGATTCCTCTGAGGTTAGAAGCCACTATTGCCAAAAAAGGAGGGGGAATGGTATTTTTTCCCTTCATTCCTGGCCTGCTGCTTGACACCAAAATGAGAACATGATTGTATCGGAAGCCCTGCTTATTGGCTATTATTTCCTGTGCTGGCTTCTGTTTTTCCAGCCTCCCTGGTAGAGTTCCTAAGCTCTGTCAGAATCTGGCACTCTCCCTGCCGGTGCAGTTGAGCCGTGACCCCTGCGCATCAGGCAGATCGTGAGGGACCCGCAGGCAGCAGGGGCAGCTGCCATGCCTCAGCTGTGCACCAACACTCTGGAGGCAGCCACAACTCGGGATCTTAATCCTGAATAATTGTTCCCGAGGCCTTTTCTGCTTCCCGCTGCAGCTGCAAGTCCCAAGGATCGTAATTAAAAAAGAAGACAACCCCTTTCTCCTATTGCCCATCTCCTCATTGAAAGTACACAGTAGCTTAGGGCTGGAACAGAAGCAGTTGGGCGTTTTTAACTGTGTTACCTTCATCACAGCTCTGAGGGATAATCTCTGCAGGGAATGGCAGCGTCTGGTCCAACAAACACTGCTGCTGGATGGGCAGAGCAGCCAGGCAGCTCTCGTAGCTGCTGTCAAAGCACAGGGAGGGTGGGGGCAGCCCCCGCCCAGTCCACAGACACACTGTCCCTGCTGAGCCAGCTCTCACCTATGGCAGTAAGGACAAGGCTTCGCTGCAAACTGGCTGCCCATGTAGGAGCCCACTCCAGAATGTCTCACGTGGAAAGCATCTCCACAGCAAATGCTGCCACAACCACCCAGCCGTGTCATCTGCTTCCATCTGTCTTCTGCAATTAGCCTTCACAACCAAATGGGTAACTCCCTATGAGGAACACAGTCATTTATTCCAGCCTTTTGGATCCCTGTGCCAAAGGAAAGGGCAGGCTGTGTGAAAATATAGAGTCCTCTCAACAATGTTTCCATCAGGGTGTTATCAACTTTATTCTCATACTAAATCCAAAACACAGCACTGTACCAGCTACTAAGAAGAAAACTATCCCAGACAAAACCAGGACAGTATCCACCCTTTATTCCATATCATTTATGTCATGCCAAGTCCCACATTTTCCAATAGCCTATTGCTTTTCCTGTCTTTTAATATATATACAGAAAGACATCATTCCCAGCTGAAACCAGGACACTAGGGCATATATAAAATTTAATATGGCTCAGAGAAGGAAGAAAAAAAAGACAAATCAAGCAAAGATTCATTCCACCTTCCCAAAGGGCTCTCCCCAGCCCCAGTCTAGACAAGAGTCAGGACTTGCTGCTCTCAGCTATTTGAAATACTGTTACTGTCAGCAAAGCAACTGTCTCAAAGTAAGAGTCCTCAGGGTGTCAGCTGGAAGAGCTCCCTGCCTCAGCCAAACACTGCCTCAGCTCTCAGCTCCCCTTGCAGCCTTCAGCCTTGGGCTGCAGCAAGGGCTTTGCTGCACCTATGTACCCCTCAGGCAGTGCACCAGAGGAAGGAGCAGGAGTCCGTTCGGTTCTGCTGTCCTCCACCAGCAACTTGTCCAACGTTATTGCTGTGGTAACTGAATTGGTCACATTGTGCCAAATAGTGTCTGGAAAAGTTCATCCAGGTTTCCAAACTGTGCTTTGATTCCTGCCCACAACCCCAATAGCACTGCTTTGCTAGAACTGTAGGGCTAAAGGAGGTATCCACACACATCTTCTAGCATTTTTTATGCAAAGCAGGACTGTTATTCTCTTTCATGAAATAATTCTGGCTATGATAGGGCTGGTTCACAAATAACTACTTCAGGAACACGAGTTCTACCTCTTGTGATTGGGATACTGCCATTGGCACAAAATCATGTGTGTGAGCCCAGTACCCCAGTGCTGGCAGCCCACAAGGGTCCAAGTACACCGGGGCTGATTCACAAATTCCTGTTTGTCCTCGTGTGGCTCGCTTTCAACACAAACTGGTGAGCATTGTAACAGTGTCTCCCCTCCCAGAGCCATCAGCTGCTGCTGTTTGACCATGTCAGCGTTACTGTGAGTTAGGATCATGGCAGGATTTTGCTTCCATACCTTTGGTTTTCAGCACTGATGTTCACAGGAACACAGTGTGCCTGGAAGGTAACCCTGCATAGAATTGGAGTTCTGGCCCCTCCTAAAGTTTGTGTGGACACCATGAAGCACCAGCACTGCAAGCCTGAGCCCCAGTTCAGTGCTGCCATGAGTCCAGAGCTCAGGAAATGGAGATCAAATTTGGAGCAAGACAGACTTTTATATGGAAGCACAAGTTCTGTTAAAGCCATTCTGAAGAAAAAAGGG